TTGGGCTAATACAAATCTTATTGTCAAAAGAAGAGTTTAAAGAATCGATATAAATTTTGAGCAAGCTCATTTGAAGTCAGTTAATTGAGTATTTATTCAAAAAAGAGAGCACGCTTGCTTAACAGCACACTAATAGGGACAGTTACCCTAGTAAAAAATAGAATCACACAATACAGTTCTAAAGTTATGACACCAGTGAGACACTTGATTCAAATCTCTTCTTCTCTTGTAAAAAAAAAAAAAGTACATACTTTGAAAATATAAAAGATAGAGAGATCATTAATTAGCAAGAAATAGAGTAAGAAACTGAATGCATGTAATTATTCTTCTGACAAAGAAAAAAAAGAAAACTGCACAAACCTATGAATTTTCTCTTCTTGCATACGTTGGCAGTAAGTTTTAATAGTCTTGATGCCAATTTTCGGCTCATCCGGGAAGAAGACAAATAATTGATCGGTAGGATCATCGTTATGCGCCACCAGAACAATAAGATCGCTTCTGGCCGGTCGTTTCTCGCTAGGCTTGTCGCCAAACTGTTCCTTGAATTGTTCTAGCGTTTGATCCAACTCGTCCTGTGTCACAAGATAACCTCTGTCGTGACACAATTGCATTACGGTTTTTCTAATGCGCCACAATTTGTAAGTCTCGTCCTCGTCATCCATAGTTTAACGTCTAAGACTAAAAAGTAAAGAAACTATTAAATCAACTACTATTACTTAGCGATAAATCAGAACCCTTTGAATCACGCACGGCGTGCGGTTTGTGCTATAAGCTGCGTTTCGCGCGTATATGCGCATTTATCTATATTATGCGTTAAGCCCGTTCTACATTGATCGCAAACGCAAACGCAAGGAATAGATCTCGTATAATTGACCAATCACGCTGGTCAATTGGCTGATTTGATCAATGCGATTAGTCAATTCTACCAGACCTGTTTCTTGCGTTTGCGCTTGCGATCAATGGGTGCGTTCAAACAACTCAACGGTTGAGAGATCGTCACTTATGATAGGATTGTTCTTCAAAATCTGCTGCGGTTTCAAAAGGATGATCCAATCAGAAGTGATTATCTCTCAACAGTTGTGCAACTGTTGAGTTGTCTGAACGCACCCAATGTAGAACGGGCTTTACGTGTACTATATAGATAAATGCGCGCGATGTGTGAAACGGAACACAGCCATAAAGGCCGAAGCACAGACTTTTGCATAACGCATAACGCTTAGAAAATCAACCAATCAAAGCTTTCCAGAAAAAGTAGGGATAAAAATGGAAGACTGAATTGGTTGATGTGTTCCTATGTTTTATGCGTTATGCAAAAGTCTGTGCTTCGGCCTTAAGTTTCATTCCCGAGATGCGCAGGTTCAACCAATCGGAGAGTTGCCTTTGAAAAAATACAATACAAGCTAATAGAAGTAACCCTCAAATTTAAAAATCGTTATACTATTCAAAAAACTTTCTAAATATGTTGCTCTGCACCATGTTTCTAAAAACATAAAAATACAAATACAGGATCACGATATAAATCAAACACTTTCCGTATCTCGTTTTAAGAGGAGTTTTTATTATGGATAAAATACAAATTTTATCATTCTTGAGACATCAGGCATAAATCACCACTTCTCGCTGCTTGCACCTCCCCAACTTTGAGCAGCAGGTGTGGTTACGGGTGCCGTCCACTCTTCCGGAGGCTGTGAAGAAATATATAACACCAATTAATAAATCATAGTACATAATGAAATTACACAGCCCGATTTTCTTTAACGTAACATTTTTGGATACACGATTACCGATTTAAAATAAAAATACGCATTTGGAATGTAATTGATTTAAAAAAAAATCATCCACAGTTTACCTGTGCAGCCCAGTCGCCGGTGGTTTGGAATGACGGCGCGGGACCTGCTGTAGGAATAGCAGCAGCCGCTGGCGGTGCGACGTCGTCGGCCCAGTTGTCGGTCGTCACGGCGGTCGACTCGACCTCGTTCACCCAGCCGGGATCCGGAGCAGGAGCAGTTTCGACCGGACCAGTAAATTCTTTCACCGGTGCAATCTCCTTTGCAGCCTGTTCTTCTTTCTCCGCCTGAAAAATAAGTCTCGCACTGATTATTGTCGTTCGCAAGAGCAAAAAAGAAACGCCAAAAAACTTTTACTTTCTTATCAGAAAAGATTAAGCCTTAAAAATCCAACATTATTGTTTCTGGATCCTAAAGTTTCATCATTGCAATGTACAAAAACTTGAAAGAAAAGAGTCACGAAAAAATAATAAGAAAAAGACAAACACGATGATGAGGGAACTGTACCTCTTCAGGATCTCTGTAGAAGAAGAGATCCACCACTACATCCCACTTGGTTTCACGGGGAATGGATCCTCTCAAACGAAGAACCTCTCTGGCGAGGAGCCACCACATCAAACCAACAGTGTGCAAGCTCTTTGTGTTGCACGGAATTGCAATATCTACGAAACGCAGCGGCGAGTCTGTATTGCAGAAAGCGATCACTGGGATGTTAACATAGCTGGCTTCAGTGATTGGTTGATGATCAGTAGCTGGATCCGTTACAATCAACAATCGAGGTTCACGGAAGGCAGCCTGAAAAGAAGTTAGCGTCATTGTAATGCACTTGATCAATTATTTATAAAATATCTAACGTTGAAACAAAATCAGAAAAGATTAAGCCATAAAAATCATCAGATATCCATTCTGAAACAAAAAGTCTCATCATTTATCTATCAGGAAAAAAATTTAAACATTATTTCTGCTTAATATTTTTACCTGGATCTGGTTGGTGAATGCACCAGGAGTGAACCGTCCAGCAATAGGAGTTGCACCTGTATGAGCTGCAAACTTCAGTACAGCTCTTTGTCCAGAATGACGACAACTGATGACAAAAACTTCGCTGGGCTGCTCAATGGAAACAATAGCACGTGCAGCAAGCAACAACTTTTCCCAAGTATGACGAAGATTGATGACATTTACACCTGCACCTGTAATTGGGAAAATATATACAATATTTGGAGAATTGTTATCTGGACTACAAGATAAAGACAGCTGAAATATGATCTACCATCTACTCTTTTTTTATAAACATATTGTTCCATCTGAAAGTTGACATTTTCGGCACCCAAGTGGGTACCAGCAGCCAACATCTTGGTGACATCGTCCTCTTTGAGAGCTAAGACTTCTAAACCTCCTGACATTTTAACGTTGTGGTTGAATTACGAATCCAACCTAGAATAAAAACTTAGTTTTAATTTGTCTATTATTTAATTTTTAAAGCTACAAGCCTGAAGTAAAATCTTGTAGCATAAATAAACTTAAACAAATAAATGATCAATCAGGACAATCAGACATTTTACATCTGAAAATTGTCAATAACCTAAAAAATCGCAAGTAAAATATCGATTTATTTCATATCCAACAAATTTTACATATTTAAGTATTGCTTAATGGTTAATACTATTTTTATTTTTAAATTTGTATATTCCGATAATTATATCTACATTAAAACAAGAACCGCTACCACGTGAACCGCGTGTCTGTAGTATCACCAATTAACCCTAATGGTAAAAATTCACCGAAGAAATTAAATTTTTAGTCGAATAGAAGTTTGGAAATACTTTTATTTAAAGCATACTTATTTGATATACTTTTGTTTATATAAAATAAACATAAAACTCTGATTTTTTTATATAAAATATGTATACAAAAATTATATGAGATACTCACGTTTGCAATGCCACAGGGAGAATGGTTCCAGAAAGGAAAAGAAGGAAAGGAAGTTGGATCACGAGCGTGCGCTTACGTAGCGTTGCACGTATACCACGTAAGTCAAAGCAGAGATAAGCCTGAAGGACCTTCTACAATGAGATATTAGTAATAAATCAGAAATCAGAAGCAAGAAATTGACCAATCACAAACAAATCACAGAAGAATAATCGATTGTGATTGGTCAATTTCTTGCTTCTGACTTCTGATTTATTGCTAGTATCTTATTGTAGAAGGCCCTTTAGTGATTCTTTAAGAGCCGTCTACAATGGAGAGTTGTAGGCCGTAATAGTAAGAAATTGACCAATCACAGGCAAAGTACAAAAGAATAATCGATTGTGATTTGTCAGTTTCTTACTGTTACGGTCTAAAACTCTCCATTGTAGACGACCCTTAATATGATTGAATCTTGCTTTTAGATCTTCGCTGGATCTAAGTGTAGAAACCAATCATATTGAAGAATCACTAAGCCCTCGCTGATCTGCTCACAGTCTGCTGAACATGGTCAATGCTTCGGTGGAAACTAGACCATTGAGAAGTCCTTTTTCCCCATGCTCTCCTCTGGTGTTCGGGACCTTAAACACATATAGTGCAAAAGTATAGTAGAAGGACAAATGATGCAAGCTAGCATTTGGAACCTGGTGACCACCTCCGTCAGGGTAAGTCTCGAGAACAGAAACATTCTCTGAATCAACATGTGCGAGTGATTTTTCACCAATCTTCAATTTTGTGTTTTTCTCTTTCGCAACATTTTCTCTATGACTTATCTCCTCGCACAAGTTGCCTTCGGTTTATCAAAGAGAACGTTCGCAATTACGTTTGCGACGCTCGTTACAAAGTGCCTATCAATTTTTTGCTCGTAATCTACCAAATTATATTTCTTGGAATCTATTTTATTACGGATCTGTGGATCATGGTTATGTCATCCACTATGCTCTGAATTTGTTCTTAAATTTAGCTACACCGTGTTGCACTTTCCGCACTCTGTGTAAAGTTATATCTGTGATATGACGTATAATTGCAGAAGAGAAGAGAAAACATTTTTTAAATACTGCTAGAAAAACTTAAAATGAGATGACTTGTGCCATTTTTTTCATGTTTCATTCTTCTAGAATTGATAGCGCAATATACATATTTATTTTCTAATATATTTGTCAAAACCTGAGAAAATATTTTCTTTTTATCAGCCAACATGTGTAAAACGCATTCTTCCTGGAATGACAGCTGCACAGCAGCGCAGATATGCCAGTACGATAGATGCAGATTTAGTGGTGATTGGAGCTGGTCCTGGTGGATATGTAGCAGCGATTAAAGCTGCACAATTGGGCATGAAGACTGTTTGCGTGGAGAAAGGTCAGACTCTAGGTGGCACATGTCTCAATGTTGGATGCATTCCATCAAAGTCACTTTTGAACAATTCACATTATTATCACATGGCTCATAGTGGAGATTTGGCAAATCGTGGAGTTGTTGGTGAGTATCTAGACAAATTGTCTACTCCTTAAGTCACATTGTGATATTAAAAATTGCTGAATGTTTTCATTGCAGTGTCAAATGTCCAACTGGATCTCAACAAACTTATGGAACAGAAAACAAATGTAGTCAAGGCCTTGACAGGTGGAATAGCTGGACTGTTTAAGAAAAACAAGGTTGAATGGGTCAAAGGTCATGGAAAAATCACCGGCAAGAATCAAGTGACAGCTTTGAAGCCAGATGGATCTGTTGAGTCGATCATCAACACAAAAAACATTCTTGTAGCAACCGGCAGCGAAGTCACGCCATTTTCTGGCATTGAGATCGATGAGAAACAGATCGTATCTTCAACGGGCGCGTTGTCACTCAGTGAAGTCCCCAAGAGTCTCATTGTTATTGGGGCTGGAGTAATCGGATTAGAATTAGGCTCAGTTTGGCAAAGGTTTGCATTAAAAACACAGTTTATCGAGAAAAAAATAACACATTTGCTAATCATCGCTTCTGCAGATTAGGTTCCGATGTAACGGCTGTTGAATTCCTACCTACGATCGGTGGCATGGGCATAGACGGGGAAGTTAGTAAAACGATGCAAAAGGTCCTCGCCAAACAGGGTCTTAAGTTTAAATTAGGAACAAAAGTCACGGCTGCCAACAAAAGCGGCAATGAGATCGTGGTTTCTGTCGAAGACGCGAAGGATCCTAGCAAGAAGGAAGATCTGGCTTGCAACGTATTGTTGGTGTGCGTTGGCAGGAGACCGTATACACAAAACTTGGGTCTCGAAGATCTGGGAATCGAGAGAGACGAGAAGGGTAGAATACCAGTCAACAATCGATTCCAGACGGTGGTTCCTAGGTAAGTCTCAAATTTGTGTAATGGGGTGTAATTTGTTCATTTGTATTTTAATATCTGCTATTGAATAACGTTCTTAAAATTTTTAGCATTTACGCTATCGGAGATTGCATTCACGGACCGATGCTGGCTCATAAAGCTGAGGACGAGGGCATAATCACAGTAGAGGGTATTGCCGGAGGTAATTGTCGTTCGATTTGCTTTTCTAGCAATAGCTTTTCTTGACTTTCAATTGAATTGTTTTAATTCTTGTTTATTTTTTATTTATTTTAATTGCTGCAAACGTACACAGGTGCGGTCCACATAGACTACAACTGCGTGCCGAGCGTGATATACACGCATCCGGAAGTAGGCTGGGTTGGTAAGACTGAAGAAGATCTGAAGAAGGAAGGTATCGACTACAAAGCAGGCAAATTTCCGTTCATGGCAAATTCTCGAGCGAAAACGAATTTAGAGACGGACGGTTTCTGTAAAGTACTTGCCGATAGCAAAACGGACAAGATCTTAGGCGTGCACATGATTGGTCCGGCTGCAGGAGAGCTTATCAATGAGGCAGTTCTCGCGATGGAGTATGGCGCCAGCGCGGAAGACGTTGCACGCGTATGTCACGCACACCCGGTGAGTAACTGAGTAAAGCTAATTCTCAATTCTTTGAACAAAATTTTACTATTATTTTGTAATTATATGACGGTTTATACAGACATGCGCTGAAGCACTCAGAGAAGCTCATTTAGCAGCCTATTTCGGCAAACCCATCAACTTCTAAGTTCTCGAAAGGTAAACAAATCGCTTATCGTTATGTAATATTTGTTAGTTCATCGCGCGTTCAGCGTTAGTTTATAAATGTGGCTATCCGCTTCGGACCTTGCTGAGATAATGTTTGTGTGTGTATATATACATACATATATACATATATATATATATATACTTATATTTACGTATTGTGTGTACAGACACAGTTTATAACAAACTCTTCGCTGAACGCGCGATGGAGCATCGTGGACTTCTCGTCTCGTAGCCTCGATCTAGTCTACGTTTATCAATCGTCACACATAATGCAAACTAAACGGCGCATAATTTTGCGTTAACCGCGTTATGATATTGTAAATAAAAATTTGAAAAGATTTATGCTGCAAAAGTAACGATAAATTTACTTCTCTACCCGGGGGAGTTTATTGTATTTATTACAAATAAACACAAAAAGATGTGCAGCATCAAAACGATTCAAATTGCTTTTTATCCACACAGACCTTGAGAAAAAAAAACCTTCCTAACATAATTCTCTCGTATTAACAATAAAAAATAGAAAACGATATTTTTTTTCATTTTGTTGCACAAAATAATTTTTATTAAAACTTGTACCTTTTAGTAGCAAGTAAATAGTCGTTATACAATTCTGACAATAAATATGTATCATACAATTGTTTTTTTTTTTTCTTTCTTTTTAATACTAAATGAACACAAATAAGAAGTGTACTTCAGCGTCGCGCGCATTTGTACGGTAAATGAGTTTACGCTGCCTAAACACATTTTTTTTTTACTGTTGAACTTTACCGTTTACGTAAGTGTGGCATAAGTCTTATGACGTAACTCTAACAGTTCCTTTCGTATCTGTGTCTCGATTATTGAACAACTTTTGCACACGAGAGTCCGCAAGTACGCCTTAACGCAAACTGTGGATTTTTCGCACACGAAAGTTGTTCAAGAATCGAGGCTCTGTCCCAGGTAATCAATTATCGATGGTCCCTTTCATTTCTCTCGACAATATAAGCACAAATTTCTTAGCAGTACCTCAGTTCATTTCGATTTGTTTACTGATCATACGACTTTTAATTGTAACCACTACGTTAAACAGTTATTTACTTTCATCCGATCTACCGAATCTAACTCTAGAGATCAACAAGCGCGTTATATAATCTTACGGTATTATCCAACCAATATACGATATTAAATCCTATAAGTTTAAATACGTGTGTACATTCGCAAAATTAAATACACATATATTTCTATTTTTGGCTTAAGCGTTTTCGTGTATGAACACATTGAACACATTTGTATATTACGTACGTTCTGTAGTGTTTAGCGTTTGTGTATGAAAACTACTTGATGTTAAAAAAAATCTCAAAATATTAATCTCTGTTTCGTTTTTTTTTTTTTTTTTTTATATCAAATGTGAGATATGTTAGTTGTCGAAGAAAAAGCTGTAATACGGAATTGTAAAAAGTGTCGTCAAAAGAGGAATTTCACAGAGACGACTTCATGACGGACTGCCAGAAGTTTCGTCTTTGACGCGGAAGACAATTGGTGGCGTTAATATATCGCGAAAAACAACGCAAATGTTATAAAAATTAAACTTGTTTCTTGTGTAATGTCAGATGCCGTCGAACAACCGGGTGGACATTCGAGCGGTTCCGCGGTTCGATTTTGATAAAGAAGATTTCTCATTATCTTTTTGCCCTCGCACGAATTTTCCACCTTGACGAACTTGATCTTTCGCGTTTCCAAGAATTGCTCCAGATCCATGCGGCAACGCCACTTGAGAGGATTGCCGGCGAACTCGACGATGTGCAGATCCGGTATGTTCTGCAGATCGCTAGTGAAGATGCATTGCAAATCGTTACCCTCGAGATTCAGGTAGACCAGCTTGTGGAGATGACGAAAAGCCCCCGGCACGATGTAGCGAATGGAATTGCCGCGCAGATCGAGACGCTCGAGATGCTGCATAGTGAACCAATCCGCCTCGATCGACTTGAGCGGATTGTCCTGAATGGTGAGCCGTTCCAGAGAATCCAGACCTCTGAAGGCGTCTACTTGGATAGTTTGTAGATCGCAGTTTCTTATAATGAGCTCTTTCAGATTTTGAAACTTGTAGAGAGAATTGGGGGGTAGGTGAGACAAGTTTCCCTCGTAAAACTCGATCGAGACGGCGTCGGACGATATGTTCTTGAGCAAGGCCAAATTGCCGCCGACGCAACGATATCGCGGTCCCGTGGTTTCCTCGTGACGAGTGCAAGAACCCTGAACGCGCTTCTCGTATACACCTGTTGAGGGTGGCTCGGTTGTGGTCGTCGTCTTCGGAATGATTGCTGTCGAGCGCGGGGTGGTCGTGGTCGCGTTAATAAAACAATACTCGCTCATTTGCAGCAGAGAATCGCGACTATACGGTATCCTGCGGGAATCTAGAAAATCAGCCAGTTTGGATCCGCACAGACAACTCCACGGATTTCCGTAAGCTTTGAGAGAAGACAGATACGGCATCTTCCGCGCCATGTACTCGACACCAAAGCAGTTCATGTAATTCTCCGAGATATCGAGGCTGTGCAGCATCGGCAACGTGGCGAACACATCGTTGTTAATTCGGTGGATGTTGTTGCGAGACAAGTCGAGATGTCGCAGTTTCGTCAGGCCCTCCAGCATTTCGGACGTTATCAATTCCAGATGATTGCCGCGAAGCGATAGGTAGTCCAAGTTGAACAGATCGACGAAGGCGCGATATTCGATCGTCTCGATGCCGCAGTCGCGCAATTCGAGTCTGGAGAGCCAGCCGTCGAAGCGAGCAAACGCTCGCGTCGGAATAGTTTTTAAATCCGAGAAGGTAATGCGAATGGTGTGAGCTGAGCGAGGTATGGCATCCAATTCTCTGAGCGAGGCGATGCTGCAAACGAACACCTGTCGGGATTGTTCCCTCTCATCCTGCGCGCAAGTACCAGTTCTGTGAATCGGTGGTCTATCTGTTTTGATCTCGATCTCGGTTGGAGGTCTTGATACGGTGATGTTCTTCTCTAAAACTTGTTCGAAAGTCGTCCAGCGAATTTGGCCATATGTGCTCACGACAATCTGTACATAAAACCACAGAATTATCATAAAAAAATATTAGAGTATAAAAATATAAATTGTGAAAAAGAGAGTAGAAAAATATAATGAAGTACTTTGTTATTTTAAACGCCTTTTTATATATATCGTTCAATATTTAAGTGAACGGTTTAAAAAGGCTTTTATGAGACGGAAAACAAATTTGCAATATATATATATTTACATCGGTATGTTGCTCATCGACAATTTCATCTTCTTCGTAGCATCGACCGTCGCTGATCTCGTAACCGATATTGCGATCCGTCAGATATTTCAGCAGATTTCTGCGGCACTCGCAATTCCACGGATTACCGACGGCGTCCAGTCGCTCGAGGTGTCTCAGATACGCCAACTCGTTGGTCGATAAGCACCGCAGTTGATTGTATCGCACGTCTAGATGGCGCAGGGTATCGGCCAACGGACGCAACGCGCCCGGCTCAATGCGCTTGATGTTGTTCCGCGCGAGAATCAGTTGCTGCAGCGTCGTGAGATCGCTGAACCAATGAGCGGTCACCACGGGCAACCGATTGCCGGCGAGCGTGAGGCGCTGCAACTGATTCAGACCGGCGAACGCGCCCGGCTCGATCGAGCCGATTAAACAATCGCGCATCTCCAAATTGCGTAGACTGTTGCCGAACCGGAAGAACACGTACGCGGGTAAACGATCGATCCGCAGCCCCGAGATCTCGATCCACGTGGTTCTGTCCGGCAGTCGGTCCAACGACGTCAGTGCGCTCGTCTGGAAGCGACTGCCGACGTGTTCCTGTGTAAAAAAAAAAAAACAAAAAACGATCACAATGGAAAGATCCGCGATTAAACGCTTCTCGCTTCTTCGAGCGCGATTTATCGGACGAGCGGAGTTGTTGAAAAAATGAAGAAGATAGCCGAGATTGAGATACTAATCAACGCGTTTTTTTTTTTTTTTTTTTACATAACTCTTATCGCTTCGCATCTCGATTTCGTATTGTGCGCTCGCCATTTTGTTTGCTTCGCGTACGGGCCAATCGGGGCGATAGGTGGCGACGTCATGTGACCAGTTTCGCACGCAACTTCGGACTACTTATCAACGTCGCGTTGTCGCGAGCTGTGTCGTTGCGTTACATTAAAAACAAATCCACGTTTTCCCCGCGTGTGTCAGTAATCATCATTTTTTCCACATCACGTGAGGTGTGTGCGTGTCGGCGGATGCGCGTCGCGTGCGACATTCGTGCGGTGAAAGTTGCGCGAAGGAAATAAACGCGCGTCGAACCATCCGCGTCGCCGAGGCGAAGCGGAAGGAAGTTCGCTCAAACAATCGCCAGTCGATCACGTGATCGCGCGCCCATATATGTACGCGCGCGCCAAAACAATTGCTCTCTCCTCGAGCAGTAAGTAACAAACGTTCTTCTTCTGTTTACGCGTGCAGCAGCAGCAGCGGTGCCGCTGTATCTACGTGCGGTGATTATCTCTGATGATCGCGAGAGGTTGATCCGCGGATGAACGTCGCGACGAAGAAGCCGTCCAAGAATGTCGACGATAATTCGGGACGTTCGGGGATTCGCGATGCCGCCAAGAGCGCGGGGACTACGTTTCCCGTTGGGGTGAGTTTTGTTCTTATTCAATTATATCGCGGCTAATTGATCTCGCGCGCGTGTGTGTGTGTGTGAGACGGCGCGAAGTCTACTTTATCATGTTAGCGAGGTGCGAGCAAAACAGTTTCATTAGTTTGCGATTGTGACGAAGATTGGCGGACAAATTTTTCTTGTAAAATATTCTTCAAAATCGTATTTTCTTATTCTTCTACTTTTTGTATTTTTGTTTAAAAACTTTGATGTGTTTATAAACCTCTTCCCTCTAAGATAATCCGCGCGTACCTGCTCGATGGTAATCGTCGGAGGTGGGAGCGGGATGTCGACGTGCGTCATGCACTGTGGATTTCGATACTTGGTACAGACGCCTGGACGAATTCTGCACTGTATCTCTTGTACGATCGATCGTTCGAGAAAGAATTTGTCCATTCTGAATCGGCAGTGGCACAACCACGGATTGCCGTCGATGCGCACGGTTCTGAGCGACTTCAGATGCGACAGTTCCTCAACCGAGAGACAGTCGAGGTCGTTATCGCGCAAGTCGAGCGTCTCCAGTCGCGGTAACGTACGGAAAACGTCGGGCTCGATGTACACCAAGTCGCATCTGGAGAAAAGAAAATCGCGGATCGCGTGTTACAACAATATTTTAGAAACTAGTTCTCAGGCTCACGTGCTTACGTGTTTCGATATAAATTATTTTGTTTCAATCAAACACATTTCGTCTGGTTAAAATAGTGTTTGTATTGTTCAATTAGCTTCCAATTGTGGATCACTTAGTGGTTGATGAAGAAAACGCAATAAAATCGAGACGTGTAAACACGCGCTTGTTAAGAAATTGAGTGAAAGAGGAAAGAAACGTATCGAGGATACGTAGAAAAATTAATGGAGCTTCGAGAAAGGAGTTAACCCCGGATCTCAAACAACCTTTTCACATTTATTTCGTTCGAAAGCTTTGGGGGAGCAGATCCTTCGATCCGCTCTCTCAGATCCTGACCAATAGCACAGTTTTAGTTTCTAAGCGCCGGTATTCCGATATCGATGACATCACGTTTGCAATGGCGCGTAAAACTGGGTCGTCAACATTACCGAATATATAACCGAGGGACGTTTTACATAAGCCGCATCCGACCTCGATTCATCGATGCCCTCGAATTTGATAAACATTGCGTAATCGCGCGCGTTTTTCCGACGCGAAAAATCTCTCGTCGATTTATTCGCGCAAATTCGCGACATTTGATTTGCCACCGACATAATGTCAACAAAGAGCTCTTTAATCCCGATAACAAAAGTTCATCGGCATTTTGTGAAACCAAGTTAACGCTTTTTAAAGTTCTTTGCTTTCTTCTTGTACTTTCTAGATAAAAAAAAGCAAAACACAATTGTAGTTTTTTTTTTCACTTTCTCTCTGTTATCTCGTGATCCTCATTAAAAACATTATTTAGTTTGGAAAATCGTCGATCGTGAGATTTGTAAGAGACAACGATGCGTACCTGTCGAGAACCAATTTCCTGAGATTCGGCAGGTGACGGAACCAAGCGGCCTTCGCCGCGTAGATCCTCACGCCGTGGAAAATCAACCAGTCGAGTTGTTGCAGGCCGCGAAACGCGGCGGGCTCGATAACGTTCACATGACAATTGTAAAAAGATAGGCGACGCAGATGTGGAAATCGACGGAACGCGTCGTCGGGTATCGCGTAGAATCGCGACACCGAGAACTCGATCCATTCGGTCTCGTCGGGCAGCTCGTCGAGGTCGCTCAGGTCGCCGTGAACGCACGCGTAGGCGATCGACCGTTCGTTCTCGGCGATCAGCGCTGAGCTGCATTTGCCGTGCACTCGGCCAATTAGACCGACCAACGCCCAGAGCAGTAATATCGAATTGACCATTCTTTTTCGTGATCTCAGTAGGTCACCTAAAAAAGGCAGAGAAACGCTTTGATTTAATGAGACGTGTCGCCGATTTAACGTAATGAAATTAATCTCATTAATTATTTTCTTTATTACGCGAGAACAAGGACAAATAATATTTTTTTATACGCGCGTATATAATTGTTTTTTCATCGCACACATAATTTAAATTTGTCACTTTTTATTTTTTTTTTTTTATTTTCTTTTCTCCATGGGGTTTTTGTCAATAAATAAATAAGTATGTTGATAAAAAAAATATTGAATAAATTATTCGCGTAATTGGACGCACGATACGCGATTTATCATTGTGATGTTGTTTTGCGAGCGATATACATTCAGCTGTTCATTTATACTCGACGCAAGCAACATTTGTGTGTGCGTGATACTATAAAACACACGCACACATCTCTTTACCTGGAAACTCGTGGTGATATTGTGTAATCTCGCCCACTCAAGCCTCGTGGTTCGTCGAAATCAGTTCTGAAATACGTGCGATAAAGATTAACTTCAAAAAATTCTCTCACACACACACACACACATACACGTAGCAATGTTTTTTAATCGCACATACGATATTCGAGGCGCGAATGAATATATCAAAGTGTGTTTACGCGCGCGTTGCGCCAGTTATGACAACCTTCGCGGTGATCTCATCAGTCGGAGAATAAACACGAAAACCAGAAGTGATGTTTAAGTGCACGTGGCTAATGCCCAAATTTCTATTACGTTGAAATATTTCGTTGCGTGCATTTCAATGCATAATTGAAAATTCCCGGGGTTATGTCGTAACCCCGCGATACACTTTCCGCGAAGCTGCGAACTTGACGATAAGCTTGCACCGAACAGACTAAAAAAGTTGGATCGATTTTTCGCATATTTAACGGACTCGACGATCTCTTACGCATCATATGACCATATCAAAGAAAACCAAGGTCGCGTTCGCTTCTTTGGCGCACACATGTACGCGAGAAGATCGATCTTTCTAAGTTTGTTCGACTTTAGAAAATTTACTGTTCATCGCATGTCACCGCATTCGGAGCAAAATTTGATTATAAAATATATAACGACATTGATCAAATAAGTGAACCAAGGACAAAATTTAAATAATATCAAAAGATTTTTATAATATATAATAAATATGCAAACTGTATTGTTTTTTTTTTTCTTTCAAAATTTCAAGTGTTACACAGAGAAGCTTCGATTATACAATTCTGTATCTTTTATTTTTTTATGCTTTTTTTTAAGTATATCGATAAGAAAGTTGGTACAGCACGATTTTGCGTATCGCATAAACTCACCGCGAGTTTAATTCACTGAAATAAACACCGTTAAAACTAGAGAACGCGTTGCGCGAAACTAAAACGCGCATCTGCGAAACAAAAAACGAAAGAAACTTGGCGATCTGTCGCACTGTCGTTGTCGCTACGCCACCCACACGGTCTACCTTCGTTTCTGTCAAGAAGAGACGTTGATTTTCCACAGTAACGATCCCCACCCGATTAGTCTCGAAGAGGTGCGCGCGCGCGATCCTTTAATGGTGCACCTATAATTTTCCGCGCGACTTTTCTACCTTTGTACCGCGTTAATTGCATTTTCACACACAACAACATGGAAGTTTCCTAGAGCGTCCGCCGATGTTTTGGTGAAAAAAAGAAAATTATTTATTCTCCCGAAAAAGAGCGGCAAAACACTTTGACGAGTCATTCCTTACGCGTTTGCATTTTTTTATTTTTTATTTTTTTAACGCAAAGAGATGTTTTTTTTTATTTTTTTTTTTTTTTTGTATTTTGTATCACCTGAGTGATATCACGTTCACTTGTACATCGAAAATCGAAGCGCAAAACTCGGTGACACAGCGTGTGTTACAAGCGAGAACAAATTACATTTCGATAATAAGATAGATCGTCCGATAGATCGCGCACGTCGTCGCGAAGTCGATAAGTCGAAATGACTGAGCTCGCGAATCGACTGCTTCCTCGTTATATAAGGCCTCATTAAAGGCCAAGGCCGTCCTTGTTCCCTGCGCCGGTATATACGTAGCAGATGTATGTACACACGTCGCCGATTCCTGACTGCGACGACCTATCTTTAGCATAACGCGCTCTAGTTTGGCATTAAAAGCTAGAGGCGCGATACGGGGCGACGTGTAATTCGCGAATGCAAACGGGAGCTCGCGGGGAAGAGATGAAATTTGATTCACATTTGTGTGCGCGCGCGCGCGAGGACCGACTAAATTGTACTTTACATTCGCATTGTGTTTCTTCACTTCTACACATATGCAACGAGATGTTGATGAGAAACTCGATTGTGCGCATGATTCTTATTCTTACCCTTGTTTTCATCAGTCACATTCGTGTGTTCGAACTTCCTCGCGATATCAGAAAACTTCGTTTCTGACGCAGTTTCGATTTTTTTTTTTTTCCGCCTTCTCTCGGAAAAAAGTTTGCGTTTCTTCGCGACGCACCCTCGTCGGTCTAGTCGGTGACAGCGCGTGGTCCGTCCACACCTGCGTCGTCGATTCGATACTATGCCCCGCGAAAATGAAATAGCGTTCTTCAGGCCGTCAAGGTCCCTCGCTAACCACGAAGCTCTCTTCGTCTCCCTCGCGATCTCCTCCTTCTCTTCTCTCTCTCTCTCTCTCTCTCTCTCTCGGTTCTTGTTGGACGAGTGCGTTCACGACGACGCAGATGCACACGCTACCGTGACGAGGTACACGGTGCACCGCTTTGAAAGACGTTTGTCTCCTTTTTCTGTCTCCTAGTTTCTCGCGTGCGTCACGTCATATTTTCGCGCGAAAATCGTTCAGTTTAGCGCAAATACGAGAGACATTTTCGAGAGTGTGAACTTGATCTTCGAAATCAAGTGTGTTTTTGAAACTCATATTTCTCGAGCAGAGTTGGCAGAGAGAAGTTTTATGAATGTTATGGAATATTATTGTGGTAGTGGGGACTTAAATTTGTAGTTGATTTTCCTCTAAGAATATTTTATATATATCTGTAATTAAATTCAGAGATTGTCAACAAATTGGTTTTTTTTTAACTTGCTATTTTATCGTCTTGTTATTTTTCCGAGTTTTATATTTTACATCGATACATCGAGAAGTATTTGAAATTCAAGGAAGGGGGAAACAGATCGATTGTAATTTAATTAAGAAATACACACACACACGCGCGCACGCGCGCGCGCGTCATGTAAAATGTCATTGATTCTCGAGACGATGATGACGATTTCAAAAGTTTTAATCAACCGACTTTGTGCAAAGTTATTTTTGAACGTAAAGCGAATTAATTACTTTCTTACGTTGAGACTCTTATCGAGCCACACATATATTATCGTATGAAAAGTGCATTGTAGCGTTAATAGAGACACGTAAAGCGTGCACGGTCGCTCGTAAGAAACTTGTAATTACGATGAGATGATAATGTGTAGCACACGTACACACATATGCGCGCGTGTGTGTGCGAGTGTTATTATATCCGATGCATCGGCAACTAGCTCTACACTTGCGTGTCACGATACGCATTTAATGCGTTTCGTTATGCAATGTCACGGCCTGGTCCAGAAATGCGCATTACGTCATACAAGAGCAGCCCGGGGAGGTTTGGTTCGCGCTTTGGGAAGACAAGCGCGCGTAATAGATGTATAAGAATGTTGTGTTTGCATCACGCTCGTTTTTCACTTTTACGTACCGTTTTAATTAATTACTTTTTTTTAATTATTTTTTTCGGCACGAGATAAGAATATTGTCAGCAAAGAGAGAAAAAGAGAGAGAGAGAGAGAGTTGACTTTAAATTATTTAGGACTGGATTGTAAATACAATTACGCGCGTGATTCGTAAAAAGTTGAGTAACAATTTCGTTATCCGTTTATTCCATTAATTTAATTTATCCACTCACACTCATATCCGTCCACCTTGTCCATCCGAGCCAAATGCCAAAGACGACGCGTCGTCATCGGACCGGCAGTCTCGCGCGGGCTGTCGTTGGTTGCGCATGTAGTTCCGCGTTCGTTCGCTCAATCCGTCGTGTGTTCTCACAAAACGAACAACACGTGGGTCTTTCCGAGAGAATACTCTGCGGCGATGATCTTTGCGGCGTCTCTTTGATGTCGCAGCTTCGTGAGTATCATTTGCGAAATCAATTGTCCGATCGAGAGATATCGCGCGCGATTCAAAAAAGGTTCGTTAACGAAATAGCGGTAGAGATCGATTATTGTTCGCGTTGCGCAGAGAACGTTTTTCCACACATTTTGCGCACATTTCACACACTTCCGATGTTTTTCGGCAGATTGGAAATGTGTATAGAAGCTTTTGTCTCTGATAAAAATTATTCAAAATTGGGGAGAAAATCACGTTATTGTTTCTTTTCAGAAATTAAAAAAAAAAAATCTATTATTTCCTATTAAATTACATTTTTCTACGTGCATCTGCAGCTAGTAAAACGATTATTAAAAATTCTCAAGTCATATGAAGGGAGACAAGAATTGCGTTCTTTTTTTTCGGGAAAGCGTCGATGAAAATGCGAACTGCGCAATGTGTTGCATGCTCGGCAGAGTGCTGATCGAGGACAGCCGGAAGGAGAGTGCAACGAGCGGAAAAATGGATTCTCACGACGGTAGCGCGAGGTTTCATCGTCGCGATCCGCGGCTGGATTTACGTGGGACGCCACGAGCCACGATCACGACGACGGCAGGTGGGTAGAAGCCACGAACGAGTATTTGGAGCGCGACAGACCCGGCAGGCGAGCGCTCCCCGACATACGTGCTACGATGTGTGAAAAAAAAAACGCGAGCGCACAAACATGATTTCGCGCGGATTCGCACAACGCCGAGTGTCCGGCAAATGAAATTAGCGGCGATTAGGTTAGAAGGTCACCCACTTAGCGCGGATCAAGATCGCACACGCGATAGCCGGATAAAAAGTAGTTAGTTGTCTCTCTTGCGCGTGCAATGCGCAACATTTAAACCCGTCAAAAAATGGACGGTTTTCAAATTTTTTTATTAAATTGCAAAAAACGTTCCGAATTTTGTTCCTTCCCCAACAGGAAAAAAGTAAATGAAATGTAAAAATCTTTGTAGCGCGCGCTGGAAGCTTTTTTGTTAATTAATTGTGCAAATATTAAGATAACGAATGGGAAATATTTTTTTCAAATACATCCGTCAAATTGACGGATGTAGTGAAACCAGGTGTATGTTCTAAACTCTGGTTGTTCCGGCGTTAAAAATTAAAAGTTATTTTTAAAAATATTAAAAAGCCGACCGAATTCCGTGTAAACGCGACGATTTCTCGTACGACGTTTATCAATTCTAATTGAACGCGTCATCTCGAGAGACATTTATCCAATGACGACGGAAATATGTCGTCCTCTCACGAAACATTGTTAACAGACGTCTCTCAATTTAACGGGACGGATCGACAACATGCGACGCGGCGATCCGTTCTTTGCCGCCTGAAAAAAGTTCTTTTCGCTGCTTCCGACGCACGCGCGCGCGCGACCTTATCTCAATAAACCAATTGACAAACGTACCGCCGTGATAAAGATCGAGTGCAGCGACACGACGAGTGATGGAGAGCGCGAAAAGGACCAAGAGTAGGGAAAGTCGTGTTGTGAGAGAGAAAGAGAGAGAACAAGACTGAAAGGAATGAGGTGGTGGAATGGAATAGCGTGCCATGGGACGCGGTCAGTTCGCATTGAACTGCCGAATCGGATACGTCTCGCCGATCTCGGTGTGTGTGTGTCTGTCTCTTCTCGCGGGAAGATTTTTCGTCACGGTGCTCTCTTCTCGCTAATTTCCGATCTCGTCTTCGCAAACAGGACGGCCGGCTGCGGGCGAAAATTGGATACCTATGTGCAGGTGTGCAATCTCCTCCTCTGCGATTCATCTCACGTCGATCCGCGCGATTCGCATGCCGACGGCTCGACCCGCGTGCAACGATTCTGTGAAAAACAAAAAAAATCTCGTCGGTTTTTTTATGTTTTCTGGCGACAACGGTGTTTATGGCGTGTGAATGCGAATGCGCGTGTGAACGTGTGTACGTGTGTACGTGTGTTATTGTGACAGACGAAAGCGAGCAAGAATTCTCTTGATTCCCGACGACTCGAGCGCGCGAGAGAGACAAATGAATCAATAACAAATGTAATAAATATAGACTTCTCAGAGTAAATTTAACAAGTAGAAGAAAAAAGAATCGTATGCTATAGTTTTTTGCGTAAATTGTTTTTATTTTTGTAATCTATCAACACAAATTAAAATCTATAATATTACAAGAAAGAAGGAAAATATCAACAAGAGTATTCGAGCGCTTTTTCACCGTCGTGAGACTTTTTCCCGGGAAATTCAGAAAAAGAAACGTACGAGAAAACACAATTGTGCGAACAAAACACAATTTAAACAAAAGTAATTAATTTCAGATTTGTAAACGATCGGAAGATCTCGTGTTTGCTCTTGGAGAAGACAGCCTTGCGACACACATGTTCGCCTCGCGATTTTCCTCAGTATGTATGCAAGTTAACGGTACAAGTGTGTAACAACACCGCGTGGCAACGAGAAAAGCAACGTGTGATTACCGTCTTGTCCTCATCGAGACAAAGCATGTTTTGAATTCAATCTCGCACGCATCTCCGGTTAACTCATTAATCGTATATTAACTTATTTTTCCTTGGAAATGAATTATACGAACGGTTAATAATTTACATCGGCTACGCGCATTTAAAGTGTAATCGATCATGAGAGCGAAAAAGTGCTATTAAATTTTTATCGAGATTTTGCGTCTTCAATCTCGATTCGAATTTTGATGGATAGTTGAATGTAAATTCCAGTCTCGTCACATTCGTGAACTTTGAAAAAACTTTGGAAAAATATTTTATTTGTTATTATTTTTAAAAATTTCTTTGGTATTTAATTTAAAAAACAGTTGTTAGCTACAGAGATTTTTATATATATTATATATTATTGTATATATTATTTTCAATTATTTCACATACTTATTTCTCGTTAAAAAATAAATCTACTTGGAGCTACTGATTTCTGTGATTGAAAATCTGAGAGAAATCCGTCGCTTCGCGAAGTTCGGTTTGTTCTCCTAGTGTTTAGCGGCGCTCGTCTTGCTTAAGGTAATTGCGCTGTTTTCGGCGCTCGCGTGTGTGTGTTCCGGTTTTGCGACACCGATCGTTACATGTAGTCTGAATTTCAAGAAAAAATTTGATCGACGTCCTCGCTGTCGCAGCACAGCTGTCTCTCCATAAATAGTCACGCGACCTGGCGCGGCGAGATTCGCGGCGTGAACCCCGTCCTCACGTGTGTCATCGCACTCGATCGACACGTGCACCGATGCGCTCACGCGACGACGCCACAGCGAAACAATCTGTTGCGTTGAATTCGGACAATCTCATCTCCGTATCTTCCCTCCTCCCCCCCCGCGAAATTCAACAACGATCTTGTGCGCGTACACCTGTTAGCACAAGCCAATTTCGCGAGCGGTTGAGCGAAGGCGATCGAAGATAGACGATAAAGGTTAGCGATCCGTTCGAACGAACGCAGGGATCGTGCGTGTGTAGGCCGTGCGGTTCTATAAAGCTGTCTCCACATCGAAGGTTTATCGATTCCTCAACTGACAGATGGTTTACGATCGATACGATTATATGAGTATTTTGCGATTCTTATTCGAAAAGTATCGCTGTTACACGTAGAACTCGCCAACCTGAAGCCCGTTTCTCTCGTCTCTCGTAAACAATTACAAGTTCCTTTTAAACGAAAAAATGTTGGAATAAAAAAAAAACAATTGTCAGAATTTTTATTTTATTTAAACTTTTATTATAAAGAAAAAAAAATATTCTCTTCTGGTAAACATGTTTTTGTTAGTGTGGCGTTTGTTTTCCGACAAAAGTATAAAAAAACAATTTAAAGAGATCCTGTTTCTCTGCGCGATGTGGAACTGACGTAACATGCGTCTCTCGCCGCTGCCGCATTTACTGCTGTCGGCAACGAGTGTAGGCAAAGTGTAGGCAAAAGACCTATCGCCGCCACACCCTGCGGCTAGAAGTGAAGAAAAACCATGAAACAGCGACAATGAGACTGAAGAGACTCGCTGCATCGTTGATAACGAGTGATATCTCAGATGAGCATTTTTCTAAGCGATTCGTTTTATGTATAAACAAGGATTGTGTTTTTGTTCGCGCATTATGTAGGTAACAGTTTCAAGGCAACTTCCGTGGACCGTTAAACTCGTTTACTTTTCTAGGACGTATTCGCGAGGCAAAAACACTAAATGGTTTTATTTTTACGCGTGCTGCAGCGCGACATGGATGGTTGCGCCGAGGTGATGTGTACCGCGCGATCGAAACAATTTCAAGAGACGCAACGTTATGCTGCTGCACGCGCAAAACATCGTAAATATTAGCAAACACGAAAACACGCGGTCCCGTCCCGTTATCGTCGATAGCGCGTGGCGCGTCAACGAAGCGGTAAAATCCCTCGCTTACGCGCTTCTCGCGCGTCCGGTTGATTCGATGACGTCTCCGTCAATTTTTATCGCCAACACGTATTCAGCCAGCCAGTGATCCGTTTTTCGCAAGAATTCCCGCGCCCGCGTTCTCGTCGAGAGAGAAAGAAAAACACGCTACTAAGTAGGCAGGCGTGTATGTATGTACGTGTGTGTGTGTGTACTTGCACGAGCGTGTATACGGGGTGTCGCGCGTAACCGTGTTACACACAGAAATTTCCCGAGAAAATTCAAAGGGGAAATGATGAAAATTTCAATAATTCGCGTGTAAATACAAAATCCGAAAAATTATCAATACGTTAAAGTGAAAAAAAAAAACAAATTGCGAATATCCGCAAATATTTACGCATTCGAGTAAGAAACAATCATGTTTTTTTTGCTGGATTACAGAGT